GGACATACGGGTTAATGGGTTAATGTTGGACTTGTGGACTTGGGCAGCACTGGGTTGGGATGTTTTCTTGATGCTCACTTAACCTTTATATAGAACTCTCTTCTACATGAGTTTCTGTGGATTTGTTTCTCCAAAGTACCCAGGCTAATTCAGATCCCGACGCTTTTCTTAGTCTGTGTTAATCTGCATCTGGATCAAATCCATTGCCATCAAGTCAATCCCAATTCATACAAGCCCCAAGGAGGACTGCTCCATTGGGTTTCCGAGACTTCTCACCTTCACGGGGACAGATGGTCTTACATTTGTCCATTGGAGCAGCTGGCGGGTTGAAACTGCTGACCTATGGTTAGTAGCCCAACGTTTCACCTGCTGCGACACCAGGGAGTTAATCTGGAAGGTCCGCTAAAACCTGGTCGGCCTCATAGCAACACACAAGCCTCCAGTGCCAGACCAGTGGTGGCTCCGCATTAGTCGGGAATCGAACCTGCACCTCCTCCAGGGGAGACACGAATCCTATCACCGAGCGCCCTCGGCCACCAGAGCTGTAACGGGACCTCCTTTAACCATGCGAAAGCTTCTGCGTGGAAAGCTGTAAATGGACGTGAAAAGTTGTGAACGTGAAGTCATATTCAAAACTCAAGGGTGGCTTTGTTTTGGCTGTTGTCAGGTGTTGTCGCGTTGCTTCTGACTCACAACGGTCCTGTGCACAGCCGAGTGGAACACTGTCTGGTCCTGCGCCAGCTCACAGTCGTTCTTAGGTTTGGACCCATGGCTGCAGCCCGTGTCCACCTATCTCGTCAGGGGCTTTCCTTTCTGCCACCGCCCCTCTACCGAGCATGCTGTCCTTCTCCAGGCATACGTCGGCGGTACATGAGACAAAGTCTCCCCATCTGTGCCTCTAAGGGGCATTCTGGCTGTAATTCTTCCGAGACAGATTTGTTTGTTCTTTTGGCAGTCCTTGCAACTTTCGATATGCCAGCATCATAATTCAAATGCACTGATCCTTCTTCAGTCTTCCTTAGTCAAGGCCCAACTTCCACATGCACGTGAGGCGATTGGAAATGCCATGGCTTGGGTCAGGCGCACCTTAGTCCTTAACACAACCTCCTTGCTTTCCCACACTTTAAGGGGGTCTTTCCAAAGGGTAGCAGCGTTACCCAGTGCAGTGTGTTGTCGGATCTCTTCACTGCTGCGTTAGGAGCACAGGTTTGCTGTAGAACAATAGAAAAGGGTCTCCCTCAGAGGCCATTCTCAGCCTGGGGGTGGTAGGTGTCTACTCAGATCCAATTTCAGCATCTGCTGTGGACTTAACATTTGCCAATCGTAGTAGCAAGATAATAGTCCGTCATTTGGTCTAGGGAGAAGCCCCACTTCTTAAAATTGGCTACCAAGAGCAATAGCTGAAAAAGAAAGCTTGGCTTGAAAGGTATTTGACAATCTGCATTGGTTTGGGAACACTAACTTATTGTAGACATTTTGATTAAAAAAATAAATCTGTTTTCTAGAACATTCCAGTAGAGAAGGCTCCAAGGTAAAGTCAGGACATTTTATATTCATACCTCAGTCGTGGCTCTGACTTCTTGAGCATTCTTAGGAAATCGGCCAAATCTCTTGGGTCAAGTTCTCCCAGCTACAAGATGGGCAAATAACAGATGCTCAAAGACTTTTTGCATATTTCACTGCTGGTTATGAAGTTAAAGGTAGTTTATTAAGAACATTTGTGAGCACTCTTTATTCATTTCAGTTCAAAGATAACATAATGTATCCCTGGCACTCCGTCTGCCTTTACCTACTTGGTATGCCTTCAGTGGTGTGTTTGTAAATAAAATCTTATAAATGTGTTAGGGAAGAGATATGAAAAGCCTTCATAAAATAAAGAACTCTTTTAAAACTCCCAACTTGGTTAAATGTGTAAGCCTATGATTTCAAAATTAGGTTTTCTAAAAGCACAGTCTGCCTGCAGGCTATTTACATGAAGCACATGTAGCTATTCACAGATCAGCAGCTTGAGCTCGCTCGGTGTATGGATGGCATTTTAAGGAGTGCTAACGACAGCATGGATCCAGAACTTAAAGGAGAGACTCTAGCTTTGGGGGATAATGTGGTTCCTAGAAATTTCAAAATATTGGGTGTTAAAGAATGGCCAAGAATTGCAGATAGGCTGGATTTTTGCAGAATCACTTCTAATAGCTATAATTTTGTAAGAGAAATCTAATATATTCATTGTATAAATGCAAATGACATTCAATGTTTATTTTTTGCTTCAAGAGAAACAATCAAGGAAAAAATATCTTCTATCTGATCATCATTAACATAATTCACCCTAAGAATAGGATAAGGTGCAAAAAGAAAGGGTTAATGGGGTGGGTTGGATAACAAAGAAATGTTGTAAGAAAACTGAAGTCCAGGTTGAAAAATCTAGTATTCTTTCCTCTTTGGGTTGTTTTATTTTGTTTTTTGAGGCTTCCTCCCATCTGCATGTCTCACTTGGCCTGGTTTAATTATCTTCCATCTTTTCATAAATGTTTTTGTTCTCCGTACACCTGAGGTGGGAGCTCCTGGAAAGAAGTTCCCTGTGGTCCTAAGTCTTATCTCTAATCTGAGATCGCTAACCATTGATTGACAAGGAGACTGGTGAGATACACTTAAAACCTTTATTCATTGATTTACAAAATGTACAATATCTACAAAATTTAGGCATTAATCTCATACTGACATGAAAATGCTCAGGGTTGTCTAAAAATAAATATGTGGTACAAAGGTTAACACACACTTTGTGGCTCTTTGCACGTTAAGCCTCCATTAATGTGGGACTTAACTGGAGGTTAAGTGTGGTTGATGGGTTAGAAGGCTGACCCATCCTGGGCCTTCCAGATAAATATCCCTCCTGGGCTTCTTGAGGCTGGGGATGGTGAGAAACCACATTCTTGAGAGAGATTAATCAAAAGCTATTCTGGCAGGCCCACTGGAGATGTGCAGCAACACCTGTGCAGCCTGCCAGGATGGGTGCAGTGTTGGGTGGTGGGTGAAGCCACACCAGGTCAGCCTGCTCCCTGCACACAGACAGGGAGTCTTTGGCGGGGTCTCTTTCTCCATAAGAACCAACATTTGGATTTTGTCTATTATTCACATAAGCATGCAGTACTTGGAAGATGTCGATGAACAATGTCCATGCACAAAAATGGTACTTGTAGACATGTACAACATTGAAATTCAGATGCAGGATCAACCTGTCTTCTCTTTTAGTGAGAGGATGAAGGAGGAAGCCATTCCCCACGCCCCAGAGAAAAGCGATCAACTAGGAACACACACAAAGGGCCTTGTTAGACGCAGATGGGATGCACTCCACAGGATGCACTCCACAGGATGGGATGGCCAAATTCTCATGAATCAGACCAGGAAGTTTCCAAGGGTGGGAATTTCACTGGCCCCTCTCCTTTAATCCCACACCTCATCCGACTTAACCTACACCGGAAGGAAAAGACCTCATGTTATTGAACTTCTAAGAGCCTCAGTGCCTTCATCTGTAAAGTTTAAATATTCGCAACATTCCTCCATAGGGATCTCACGGGAACGATACGACCTAACGCATGTAAAGTGCTCAGCACAGTGCCTGGCACATCAGAGGTGCTTGCTTCATCAATCAATGGCGTGCTTTCTCCCTCTCTCGTCCTCACCCTCCATTATAAGCAACATATTGGTAGACCTACCAACCTCTGAATTAAGGCGGCTTGATGCGATTTCGATGATTTTGTATCAGAGGTATCAACAGCCATGCATATGTAGTCCCTGAGAAGGTCTCGTTTTGCAGGCCAGAGACATTTTCCTGTACAAGGCAGAAGAAGCCTGACAACACGGTCCTCGTTCTTGGCCCTGGCTGCACTGCATTCCATGTGTGCATGCCTCCACACCCTGCCTAGAAACTCAGCCCCATGAGGAGCACCACCTGAACACCCAGAGCATCACCGGTGAGGACAGCGCGATCGAAACCTTGAGACAAGCACATTACTCTCTCTCTGTCTCATGATATAAGTTCCCAACACTGGTGTCAGTATTGCAGAGAGCTTTCAACAGATTTATATGACCAGCTCTACCACTGTTGAAAAATATGTACTCTAATTTGACCATCTCATTCAAATTATTCTTTTTTATAACAATATATTGTTGTTTCTAGTCATGCCGTAGAAAAATAAATATTGTATAAATGATTTACAAGGGAGAAGAAAAACTAATAATTTGGAGTGCCTCAAAACAAGAGGAAGGAGGTGAAACTGTCACCATGTACTTCAAAAGCAAGTGTCTGAAAGAAAACAAAAATGGGGCATCCCTGCTGCAAAGTCGCTGGGTCTCCTACCATCACAGCGTCACATCCTACAGGGCCACCACGTCCCCACCTTCACAATGACATCCCTTCCCCTATCAATCCTGAGGCAATTCAGGTAGAACCTTCTCCCTAAAGCCACTGGGGAATCAGACTGGCTTCCAGGCCACCTCCTTGCTTTCATCCCCCAATTCTCTGTTTGGATACATTCTACCTGGGGAGAACCCAGCTCTGAAAGCAATCCCCACCTTCCTTTGGTACTCATAGGGCGGTGGCCACGCTTATTTGTCCAGGTGTAATCCAGCCCCTGAGGCAGCACAATTAGGTGCCAAGACAAGGCCACTCGCACTCATTCTGGGAAGGGATCGACCCAGCTGCTCTGAAGTTCCTTATGGATTTCCGGCCATGGGAGAAAACACTTCTCTAGCCATATGCCAGATGTCCACGGTTGCCCTTTCTCTGCCACAGAGAGCCAAAGAAATATTGACCACACCACTAGAAGGTGAATGGTGGGGAAAAAAACACTGCACAAATTGCCTCTTATCTTCCAGGGAGGGGCTCAGTCAGAATCTCCAAGGAAAGAGTCCATCCATTTAAGAACAAACGTTGTAAAATTCTAAAGCTGTCAGTTAATTCACAACTGCATTAAAACCAACGATTCTTTATCCTTTTCTGAAAAGATACCCATAGATGAAGATCCATATAACATGGCCTAGAGGATCCCAGGCCCTCCCACAGCTTCTGCAGGTATTCCAAATGAAGACACCCCCCATCTCAATAAATGCACAACTGTTTTCTGGAGCAAACACAAAGGTCTGTGGTTCGAAGCCTGGGGCCTGTCTCAGGGGGAGGTTGGCACTCGTGTGGTCTTGGGGAGACATGGAATGATCCTATTGAAGCAGGGGCAGTTCCTAGGGGTCTGTGGTAATGCTTGGCCCTGACGATGTCCTTACGTGTTGTGGTCTCTCACAAGTAATTACTGTCAGGCCAGTGACTCATGCATGAATATGGACCAGCGAGAATCCCTTGGATGGCGACTGTACATGGTGCCCTGCAGCTGCTATAAGGTGAGGCCCAGCCACACCCACAGGCAGGACACTATCACTGACACGCAGTGTGGGTGTCTGTTTGTTTGGTTGATGGGCGAAGTGGTTGCAAACGTGGCATCGGTTTCGTTTCGGGGGAGCGGCAGGTTGCAGATATTTCCTTCACAGCAGGACGTGCAGACCTGAAAGAAGGCAGAGAAAGCAGCAGGTGAGAAGCTGGCAAGCAGGCTTTCGAAGGAGGCGGAGGTTCTGGAAGGAACCGCGTCTTCCGGCACGGCACAACTCAACCCCAAATGACCTGACTTACAAAGCAAGGCCCACCGTGCACTTGGGGGGCGGCGGGGTGCTATTTGACCTGGAAACCACAAAGTCAAAACAAAAACTCCCTGGACTGACTTCAAGGGCTCTCTTTTTGGCAAGGCTGCCATGTAGTTTTCACCGGCCCACACCCTTGCTGGGCCTCAGCTACTCCATCTGTACAATGGGGATTATGACACTTGCCCTGTCGGTTTAAAGAGGCTCTTTTCCGATCACTGAAGGCAGCTGTCTCAAGGGCAAGCTGGCATCGGTCAAGTTTCAACAGTGAGAAAGAAGCGGCAACAAGCCCGGTCATTTAACTCTGCACATCCCCTTCCATTGACCCGTACACAGGACCATCCCTATTCTCACGATTGAGGGAATGGTTAAAAGGGTCTCTGCTTATGCAGGGGCTGTCGGGTGGACCCTGGCTCCTGGTGTGCCCACCCCTGTCAGAAGAGAACGGTGGGTTTTCAATGGCTGTGATCTGTCAGACATAAGACGGCCACGCCGTTCTGTCGATCCCAGTTTGGGAAAGAGTTGAGAGTTTGTTAGAACCGTCGATCTCACACTCCACTCTGGACCTACAGAATCCGAATCCACATGCTGACAAAAGTCCCAGGGGGCTGTGTGCACGATAAAGTACGGAAAGCTCTCCAATGGGCCACAGTCTAGGATTTGAGTCTGTGGTCACAGTTGACAGGGCCTAGGAAGACAGTCTGACATGGAAGACAGAGCCCGGAGGTCAGAAGGGAGCTTGAATTCTGTCTCTGTCACTTAATAGCTGTGTGCACCTGAATGTACCACACAACCTGTCCGGTTCTCAACTTCTGCCCTGGTCATCAGAGCAATGTCTAGCTTGGCTCAGGTGGTTCAGGGCAAAAATGTGTCTGAGATATTGCTTGAAAATGACGTTTCTGGCTTTTTAAGACTTTTTGAAGCCCTATGGACAGTGTCACGGGAGGGGTCCCTAACGCGAGAAGGGCAGTCCGATGGGGGAACGTGGGCAGACTCTGAATAAAGACCAAGGTCTGATATAAAAGACGACCCACACAGCCAGCTCGCAGGCCCAGCCAGACCGCCAGCTGCACGCCCGGTTCCAGTCGCACGTCGGCTGCTCTTTCTCTGGCTCTACAGTCTCCTTCGAGGTTGCCCTCAAAGTTCCTTCCACACAGAGCGCATCTGTGGACAGGATGCAGATGAAGGGAACCAGCTCACAAGGAGATGTTTTCTTCCAATGGAGCCAACCAATAACCTTCCCAGAGTCTGCAGACTCATGGACGTGAGCTTGATAGAGAGCTCTCGAGGCTCAAATGCTGGGGCCACCCTTGGCTGCAGGAATTGTTGGGACAGCTGCAACGGTTTCCCGGGATGCACAGACCTGGCCCCTTGTTCCCCCTTCTGCTAGTACATTCCTTCCTCTTTTCTGTGGGAAGTAAAAGATGCCTGGTAAGTCCCACTACCTTCTTGGGGTGTGCTTACACACTTTACATCAGTTGTTCTCTGCCCTGGTGTGAGTTTGTACTCTTTTAGAACAAAAGAGGACAGGACGTATTGTTTTCACATAGATGAAGACGGTCAAAGGCAAGCCTACAGGGGGGACTGAGCCTCTGCTTGTGGTGCCGACAGGCATCTGCATGGGAAAGGGCCGACTCTGAAGTACCAGTCACTTGCTCTGTTTCCCAGACCTTGTGGCCTTCATGCTCGGAGTCTCTGCAGCCAGTGGACAAGCACTCCTCCAGCGGCACACAGCGTTTGGTGACAGAGATGCTGTTTCCTGTGATTTCCATGGTGTGCTGCGTGTAGCAGTATCTGGTCTCTGCGAACAAAGAGAGAACATTTGAGATGCGAAAAGTCAGCCCAACTTACCTGGATGGAAAATGACAGGAATATGACACTACAAGCCCTGGACAGATCCAACTGTCCCTGGAGTGTCTATGGGGTTGCATTTATGCTCAATCCCAAAGATCTCCTTTGGGAGAGCCCCTGCCCCAGGGCAGGAGGACAGCATCGCAAAGACTCCTGTTCGCTCTGTCCATCATAATCGCAGCAGATAGGCACATAGTGGTATCACTTCTGCCTTGTCATGCATTTGCCATTGTACTTATTCTTCTTTGGGGGGAGGAAGATTTAAGGGCAGGAGGAGGATTTGATGGACTAATTTCTCTTGTGAGATCTAGAACTATGTTCAGAAATCCAAGCCCCATACGCACTGGTCTCAAGTCAGTTGCAATTCACAGCAGCCCTCGATGAGTTTCTGAGACTGCAGATCTTTGAGGGAGAATGAATTCTCATCTTTCCCCAGGGAACACCTGGTGGGTCTGAACCGTTCAGGTGGGGATAAGCAGCCCAGAGCCTAACCCAAAGCACCAGCAGAGCCCTCAGCCAACCAATGAGTCAATCGGACGCATCGTAACCCTCTACAACAGAGTAAAACTGCCCGTGTGGGTTTCAAGACTGTAACTCTATGAGAAGAAAGCTTTGTCTTCACCCCACCAGAGTGGCTGGTGATTTCGAACTGCCAACCTTGCGGTGATTGGTCCAACTCGTAATCATCACCATGCTCTGAGCTCTCTGAAGAGGTGAAAAAATTAGAACACGTGATGAAAGAGGTGTGGCAGGTACCTGATGGTTAAGGAGAGGAGAGACCACAGCAGAGGCTGAAATGTGTGTCCGTGTGGGTTGTTTTGTTTATTAATGTCAGTAAAAGAACAATTCCCAAGTAAGGGTGGAATAACTGAAAATGGGTACGTTTTATCTAGAGAACATGACTTTATCCCAAAGAAAACCTTCTTGCCAGCGCGGACCTGGACATCATGACAGATGCAGACAACCCGACAGCACAGGCTTCCGGACTCAGGAGCTACTTCTGTGCCGCGCGCCCGCTCAGTGTCTGTCTCCAGACGGCAAGACAAGGGAGTTCCTGGGGGTCCATCTGAGTCCGGTCCGATGGCCTCTGCCCACTGGAGAACGCTTCCAAAATCCTGCAGAGAGCTTTCTGATCTTTAATTTAAAAACCAGCAAAAAATGACAGTGGCAGTGTCATTCTTTAAGGCCTGCAGGTGGAGTTCAGCTTTCGGAGCCTGGGGTTCCGGAGACCGCTCCTGCTCCATTTGCACATTAATAGAGGAAAATGAATAATTCCTAGGAAATGTCCGTGAGCTGTTTTTCATCTGTGTCGTGGACTCAACGTTGCATGCTTTATACATTTGAGATATCTGGTGGCTAATATGGAATTATGACCTTCGATGAGATTACCTACTAGGCAATAAAAGCTCCCGCCACCAGATTCCGTCATGACTTTGGCAGCTTTTAACTTGCATAAGGATAGCCAAAGAAGAAAGCTGAAGAATTTTACTCCTCGGTAGCGAGCGAATACAGACCACCACACTGATACATTTCAGAGAAATCCAGGGCATGGAGCAGATGGGTGATGCACCCAAAAGATGGAGGGTTTGAGTCCACTCCGAGGCGCCTTGGAAGAAAAGCCTGAAGCTCTCCTGAGAAATCAGACCGTGGAAACCCCACAGAGCACCATTCCCTTCTGGCCCAAATGCCTTCTCCTCAGTAGTCAACTAAAGGGCAACTGCTTGGAGGTGGTGGGATAATTTCCTTGGGCATCCTTGTTCACAGGTGCCAATGATTTGCTTTTGACTCAGAGCGCCCAGATGTGTAACAGCCAAACACTCCAGTCTTGTTCTAGCCTCATCAGTATTGCTGTGTTTGATCCCATTGTGACAGCCACGGTGCCCATCGCTCCATCTCACTGGAAGGTCACCCTCCTTTTTTGGTTAACCCCCTGCTTTACCAGGCACAGTCTCCTGATGACAAATCTAAAGTACACGAGCTTGATGTCTCGCCAGCCTTGATTCTAAAGAGTGTTCTGGCTCTGCTTCCTCCCAGAGAGACGTGGCCAGCACCCACACCTGGATTCAATGTGCCAATTCGTCTTCGGTCTTCCTGATTTATCGTTCAGCTTTGCCATGGCGATGAGGTGAGTGGAAACACTGTGGTTCCGCCAGATGCACCGGAGTCCTCGACGTGATATTTTTGCTTTTGAACGCGTTCAAGAGGTCTTTCAAAGCTCAATGCAATGGCTCAATGCAATACGCTGTTTGAATTTTTGACTGCTGCTCCCTTGGCCACTGAGTTGCAGATACAAGCAAAATGAATCTCTTGGCCATTTCAGCATTTTCTCCTTTTATTGGTCCAGTTGCACGGATTTGGGTTTCTCTTATGTTAATGTGTAATCCATAGCGCAGGCTGCACTGTGCGATATTCACAAGTTCAAGTTTTACATCCTCTTCGCTTTCGGCAAGCAAGGGTGTGTCGTCTGCAGATCCCAGGTGTTAACATGTCTACATCCATCCCGATGCCTCATTCTTTTTGAAATAATCCAGTTTCTCCGATTATTTCCTTAGCACAGGCACTGAACAAGTATGGTGAAACAATACCACCCTGACACACACCTCTTCTGACTGTCAACCGTGCATTACTCCTGTACTCTGTTCATACGACTGCCTCTTGGTCCATGGACAGGTTCCTCGGTCGCACAATTCTGTGTCCTGGAATTTCCATTCGTCCCAAGATTATGGGTGATGGTTACTGGTTACCACTCAGTCAAATGCCTCTGCGTCGACAATAAAACGCAGGCATTGAACTTTCTGGTCTATAAGAGGTGGTCGGTCGGTGAAAACCCTGAACCGAATGGCCTCTGAGTGAGTCTTCCCGAGGGAGGCGGCACCTTTCCCAATGGTGACGCTCATTGTGGGTGTGCCGGGGCGGAGTCTTTGGCAATGCCTTCTCCCTAAACATCATCTCATACTTCACCCCGTGCGAATTCTGTCAACGAGAATCAGGTCACACCAGTCCCTCGCCAGCTCTGGCACGGACAGGGAAAAGGTTGAAAGTTCTGTAGTGGGTGCTGATGCTCCCAAAGCCTCAGAGGACTTTCAAACAAGAGCGCCGACTCTGTGAGGAAGCGGACATAGGGACGGCAGCTCTCCCCTGGGCATATTGTCCCAAGCCTTTGGCAGGTTTTGACCAATGGAGGCCAGGAGCCTGAAAGATTTCACACACTCTCTGAGGTGCCCTGGTTGGCTTCTCGGGGATCAGACTGGATGGGCATTCATGGCCACAATGGCATGTTTCTTGTACGTCCGTCCCATCCTCAAACGTCAAGAGAGCAAGACAAACAGGAACGTTCTTATCCGCGGTCTCTTCTTCTTACAGACAACCGGGAGCAGCTGCCAGCCCTTTTATTGCTCTGCTTGTAAATCAGAGCAGCTAAGGTCATACTTTATGGACTAAGTAATCACTACGTGGGTTCCGTCTGGGACATTAGATGTGCCCTGCAAGACGTGAGTTACTGTGCTTTAAGTAAGCCTCACAATAACAATTTGTGAACTTGGTAGCAACTACTTTTTGGTCCTTAAGACACGCTCTGATTGACTTATTGTTCAGAAGCTTTTTCCACTGAATGAAAGTGACAGCAACAACTGGTGAAAAGATCTTTGCAGAAAGTATACCCACGCGGGGTCCCTAATAAGCCAGTTCTGGCCGTTCTCGAGAGGGGTGGGGCCAATGGCGTGACTGGAGAGGACTTGTTTCTTCCGCTTGTCCGAGTGCAATCCACACAACACAGACATGTGGAGAACACTCCATCCTTCCAGCAGCACAGCCCTAATTTCTGAAGCATCGATTCCTCACTAGTCACCAACCACCCTTTTTTATCTGACAAAGTGCTGTGGTTAAATACGTTTTGGAAATGCTCAAAGTTAAATGGGTTTCCTTGGGTGCACAGATTATGAGAAACCTGGATATATATTGTGATCCCCAAGCTGGAGGACAAGGAAGACAGATGATCCCAAGCTGAGTGAGGTGGACCTCCTGTGGTTTATATCTGGGCTGTAATGTTGATAACACCCGAGTTCCAGCCGCAGAGTATGGCTCTCTGTGCCTTTTGAATAATCCTTCAGGTAGTAATGAGGTTATACGAGAATCAGGCCTGCTGATAACTCCACCTAAAAGGATTTCAAAGGCTTCTATCTAAAAGATAAAAGCTGGATTTGAATTTCTTCCAGGTTAGTTTTGGCTCTGAAAATGTCATATTCGGCCCCTGCGTGATATTCCCAAAGGTTGTGAAACAAAAGTCTTTATTCGGAGATGGCCAGACACTGTGAAAATCAGCAGAGGGAAGGAGAGCTTAATTGACTCTTTAGAAACACAAAATAGAATGTTTATGAAATTCACACATAGTCCAAAAATATGTTCTCAATTTTTTAAAAAAAGGGTCAGGGCTCAAACGTCAGTTTCCATTGGCCCCGCGATATTCAATTCTAATAACAGGAAGTCGGGAGAACGAGGAGGCCTGCTGCTCCCAGAGAGACTGACAATGTCAGAAATCCATGGGGGAGTCGATGGCCGAGGGTTTGTTGTTTAATAACAGGTAATGTATTTAAATGAAATGCGTATAAAATAATTGGATTTGGAATAACACATTAAAAATGGCGAGCTCTGTGGTAAAAAGTTTTCTTTGTACAGACACACATAACCTTTAAAACGAGGCCGGACTATCAGTCATAACAAGTGCAAGAAAATCAACGGGGGTGGGAATGGAGGGTGGGGAGTACCTTAAACATAATGTCATGAATTATACTGAAAAAGAAAAGGCTAGTGAGTGACCTGCTCACACATGGTCTCAGTCCCTTACTTTATGCCCAGCCTTACCTATCCCACTGTCCTAATTCCAAACTGTCATCTCAAGGACCTTAACCCAAGTGTCACACTCAAGCTGAGCCCATCAGATCCTTTCTTAGC